TAGAATAGACTGATCAGAATGAGGAAAGTATGCTCTCTTATCAGGACGTAATGTTGAGCACACTGATTTGGAAAAAAATAAGAGACTGTTGTTATGATGATAAGAGTCCGTATTGTCACGGTTTGGATTATAGTATCTGTATTGTTCATCAACCTCTGTATCACATTCTGTTGTTAATGCCAAAAAAAATGTAAAAAAAAAAATTAAAAAACAAACAAACAAGCAAACAAAAACCAAAGTTGCTTAAATGAGTAATGGACTCATTAATTATTGATACAATGTAAAAACCTACCAATAACAGGTGGAGCTTGACGGCTACAATGCCGACAAAATACAGACAGAGAATTTGCACCACAGTCATGCAGAATTATGTAGTCACCTCGTTCAATCTGATGAATAACATTCATTACACTACTGAATGATTATATTCTCTGTTGTATCTTACATGTACTACTTTTGCACAGTACTGGACATGTATGTTTTTTAACCACATTACTCTAAACAAGTCATTCGTGAAGGTCAGCTGAACTTGCTGATTACAGAGCAATTTTACTATACCCGGCAACTCTGAAGGTATAAGGTACATGTATGCATTACCATGGTCTGTGATCTGCAGTCCCACAGTCTACTAATGAATAATAAGAAAACTTTTCTCTACCACCACTTTCCATGGTCCATATACTGTAGTCAAAATGCTTGAAAATAAACTTGACACAATGTAGGTAGAAAGTCTCGAGAATTATGCAGCAATGTACATATATGATTATGGCAAAATTACACAATTTTAAATGATGTCAACTCAAAATGTTCCTTGAGTCCTTGTTTTAAGATCCTAATATTTGAATCCACATGTAATGGTGTTGTGCATGCTTTTAGCTATATCTTTTTTCCTCCTGAACAATTTTTGTAAAACTCAGTTATGAGAAAACTAGCACTTATTTTGCTGTTGAACTTACATGTAGCGCTTGATGTTGTGTATGTGCTTGTGTGCATGCTAATGATGAGGAAATCGTGTGCGGTAGGCACGCACAATGCAATTCTGAGGAATCCTGTTAAGACTAATGAAGGGCATTCCTCAGAATTGCATTGTGCATAAGCCACTACAGCCATTTTCAAAAGGCTGTTAAAACAATCAGAGTATTGAAGCTTAGGGTGTGCTATATTTCTAAAAACAACAGTTTTTGCTATATATTAATACATTTTACAGTAATGAGTTTCACATATGACAATTCCAGTTAACAAACGATTTACCATAGGAAGAAAAACATCTCGTTTGACTACATCTCCAGAAAAACACAGAGGTCCAGCAATATTATAACGCATTCCCTATGGTCAAAGAATGTAGAAAAACAAGACAGTACTTATTTATACATTCAAAGGACATCAATATTGAAACTGAAAATATTTATAATTTCTAGATTAGGGCAAAATTTATTACCTGGGTCATGTCATGTAATTGAGGATTAACTTAATAATACTTGAGTGTATGATCATATCAAAAAAAAAATGGTTGAGCTTGCATAAGAAGCTACAGACTGCTTCTTATTGATTTATTTTACCCATTGATTCTAACAGAAAGTATTATGAGATGCAACATTACCTCTCCTTCTTTTGGCCGCCCTTCCCCGTCAAAAACTTGTACACGTCTCTATAGTAACAAATCATTTGAATATTATTATTATTTGAATGCAGTTACTGATACTCAATTATACTCTTCCAGTAGAATGACGAGTTCATATCAAAATATTGTGTCAATAACTTCTTATTCAGTGGTAGGTATATATGTTGTGAAAACCCAACAATGGGAATGACTTTAATATGATTTTGCATCCCCAAGTTCAAAAATTCCACGTTGATTACAATTATTATACCCAACAGATTTATGTATAGTGCCCCTGCTTGGATTAGACAACCAAACAGCGACATTTCATACCGACTACAGAAATGAATGAATGTCGGAAGTGCACAAAGACAGAATACAGAATGATAGTTGTAAAAAATGTACAATTATACAAACCTGGTATTTGCTGACTTTGGGGCAGTAACATGTCCTCATCATCATATCCTATATAAACAGGTACAGTTTACATGCTAGTACTTTAGTATCTGTTACAGCAACCCTACCCAAAAGAAAATAAACCAGAGAGAGCGATAATCGTGTTTGTTGCATAAACTATCCATGCATCACAACCATTTCAGTGTCACTTCATCTGACGTGACACATGGAGACAACAAAGGAACCTGCCCTATGCATGTGATCTTTGGACTGATGAGACTGTTAATTACCTTTGAAAGTTCACAGACAAAAACAG